AGGAAATCTTGAGCAGCATTCCCTTCGGATGCGAGCGCCAGAAGAACTCGTTGCCCCGAATGCTGCTTACTTAGGTATCACTTGCGACCGACTCGCAGCCTATTGGGGTCGGTATTGATTGTTGTTATCGGTCGGTGTTGTCGTCACTCACTACACAGTCAACGATGTCGCTCGATAATCCGGATTGAAGCCGATCCACTTAAATGAGAATGAGGACCACGGATTCAAATCAGATCGCCCTGACTTGGACCACGACGCGGATTGTGACGACCCACCATGAATCATTGGAGCCGACCAGGCAATATCACGATGCCAAGGGTCACGGTGACGTCATTCGATACAGTAAGTGTTCGCCGAATTGTTTGGACTGCAGCCTGATATCAGACTGGCCCTAGCATTCACTGAGAGCATTTGGTGGCCCTTCCTGATCCGGGCCTGAACAATCTCCCCGGGCTGCGAAATGCACTCGCACGAATCTTTGGAAGTTCTCTGAGCTGCTGACGGAAACTCGAAAAGGGTGATATCGCGGCGAATCCCGGTTCCGTTCCATGCGACAATGATTCAAGGGAAGTGTCCCCGACTGTGGAAGTCTCCTCTGTCGGAGCGGAACGCCCAGTGGAATTCAGAGAGTCGGAAACGCTCCGAAGTTTGTCGCAGCCTAGTAAAAATCACTGACTTCGAATGTTTCGAAAATGTACGCTGGGAACCGAGAAATCTCTCGTGCCACTATCCGGCTTGCTCCTCGTCCTTATTCGGGTACCTGAGAACTCCGGGAACCCGGCCGAGACAGTGGATTAAAAAAATTTCCAGGAGAAATTCGGAATTTAAAGGGCGCGTCCCGTCTTGGATTCGGACCTTGAGTAGTCTTTCACGACGATTTGTTACAGTAAAAGAATGGATTAGGAGATCTTGCTTAATTTTTTTACCGCGCCCCACCCATCTCCCAGTGCGCGATTTATTGCCATCATTCTCTGTGTGGCTCCGGTGCCTCAGGAATGCTATACGTTTTTTTTCTTAACGCGCAATGTCGGCGCTGCGAATAAATACTCCCGACATTCCTCCAGAATACCCGATGGCTTTTTCCAGAGAAGAAAGGGGACGAATGATACGTTCGAGCAAGCAGCGGTCATAATTTCCGACCGCATTGATCGCTCCTCTGTTAGGCAACGATGTCTGTCTGTCTGTCCGTCTGCCCTTCCGTCGATCGCATAAACAACACAGCCTCACTACCAGAGACGCACGAGACGCACCGTCAGTCCCAGAATCGGAGGCGCATTCGTCATTCTCTCTCTCTGGAGCGCGGGTGACGGGCGTATCGAAACATTCTAGAGATCAACGGAGAGCTCGCGGACACGATGCCCCGACATGACTTTGCCGAAGTCGGCTCTGACGGAAATTATGTCGATGACAATGGTCGTGATGGCGACGACGACGTCGTTTTACAATAGGCAATAGGCATGTGACCGAACAGGGAGGCGAGCAACTGTCAATGTTCTGTCGCACTAGACCGCGTTCATCCGAGCTCGAGTCATCTGCCGTATTTGCATTCGGAGTCAGACTGTTGACGGCTGGCAGGTCACGCAAGCTTTCATTTAGCGTCGACTTTAGATCCCGTGTGTTTGAGCTAATAACTAGAGCAAAATTCGGTCTCTCGAGTCGAGAGGAAGCACTCTCCAGGAGAGAAACAGAGCGGAAAACTCGATACTTTGGACGGAACACTCGGGGCCCGCTCTTCCTCTCCAAGTGGAAGCGTTCTCTTGGATTCCGAAGCGTCGTCGATTGACCGACGTCAAACGTATCTCGGCGTGTTTCGTTCCTTTCCGGTGCGCGGTTGATGTTCATCGTACTGTTGGTGCTGGAGCCAGGAAATCTCCTCCGAACCAGAAAATAAGCTTCTGTATGTGCCTCGCTGCAGTGATTTGTACCGAGCAAACTCACTGGAAGACGAAAATTGCCATCACTCCCGCTTCGACATCAGCGGCTGGCGGCCGCGGGCGCCTCTGCGCCCGCGCATCGCGGTTTGTCTGAAGTGACTTTTTTCTCTTCGAGTCAGCCGCCGGAGAAACAACGAAGTTTGCTTCTGCGCGGCGTGCGTTCTATTCAGCCGTAACTTCCGACGACGGCGCGCGTTCATCGATCGGGAATTTACTTGGAATCTCTGCGTGGGTAACGTGTAGTTGCCCTAGTGAGCCTTGATCGCCTGCGCCGCGGTGAGCTGTCCACTCAGAGAGCGGATACTCTCTAGAAAAGCAATCCTGCGCTTGGAAGCTGAACTTCGGCCGCGATGGCGGTTCACGCTGCGGATACGAATGTCGAACGTCACCTGGAGAAACTCGCCGGTACTCCCGATCCCGTATACGGTGAGCTGCCCACTAAACCTGAGGGGAGAGTTGAGATCAAAATTCCATCTGTCAGATGTCAGCTGTATCTGGATCTTTCAAGTCCAAGTCATAAAGTGTGTAAAGTGGAAAACTCAAGCAGAGGAGGATATCTCGATGAACTCATCGGTCGAGGATACGGGCTTTTTTGGACCGGAAGGGTTAGCTCCCTGTATCAGCGGGAAAGTTGTGTCATTCGACGATTCCATTTTCCCGGCTCTGCGAGATTGGTGTACGCTGAATGATCGCCCCGTCTCGCTTTGAGATCGACCGGTGAGCTCACAAGTTCCCTCAAGCGGCGACAATAGCTCCATCGCCACAATCTCGAATCGACACTTTATCGGGATTAGAGGTTTGTCGTAACTCTGTCAGGCGGCTTGAGGGAAGCTGTTTGATCTGGATTCCGCGTAAAGCTTCCCAGTGCAGAAGCTGATTCAGGGACTCGAACGCTTGAAACTCAGTTATTCGGAGAGCGGGAGCAGAACTCAGATCCGTGTTCCCGTGCTGACGGCTTCAATCAGGCATAACTCTCGCTCATTCGGTGAGACTCGGTGAGAATTTCGTTTGACACGACGAGAGGCTCGGGTCGTCAGCACTTGTGACTCAGCGTCACTGCGATATCCCGCTCGATATCGCTGAGCTATTCTTCTGAAATCCGTTGCCACTCATGTGCTGTAAATACGATTCTGAAGTCTCTGGAGTAAGAGGAAATGTCTCACGGTGAGTCTACGTGGCTTTCGGCTGAGTGACTAAGATCAGCTCAAGCTCATCTCGGACGAGCCGTATCGATTTCGCGACGAAATCTGATATAGGCCATTATGAATCCATAGGGGTAGCTCTCTCAAGGGAAATAGAGGAGATGATTTCTGTGCGGCACGACCTACGCGATAACATTCCATGATCGTATCACACAAGCCCAATCGATCTGAGTCACCCTGGGAGCGCCTGGTGTCTGCAAATTTTCACGAATCCCCGTGGAATTCTCAATAGTCGATTCGCATTGTTTCGCGAACCACGTGAGCTCTTTCTTCCTCGCATTTCGATGCGTCGATGTCTTTCTGGTTTGTTCCGCGCGGCGCCCTCTGGTAGCAGTCAGTCCGCTTGGGAGTCGCTTCCCAGGACAGCGGTGAATTCCGGCTGAGCAAAGTTTCGCCGGCATGTGCAGACCCAGACTTCAGCATCGGTACGATCAAGTACGTCGAGGAGAAGGTGGGTTAATTATTATCGAACGCGTTTCCATCGGAATTCTCGTAGAGGTCCGACCTCCGACCCAGTCATTCATGGGAAGCTTTCGAATTTGAGACGATAAGGGAAAACTTCACCAATCTCCGGATCAGTCTCGTTTCGATTAGTTCAGCGACCGACTTACGCCGGGACCGTCATTCGGGTCCGAGCCTCCCGGGGCCGAACGTGATCGCGAGAGAGCCACGGTGATCTGATGTATAGTGGCCCTTTTTCGTCTCGGCTAGGCAGTCCATTGCTCTAAAGAAAAGACACTCCTATCGTTGAGCCTCCCGTATCCTGCGAATGATCTGCGAATGTCTTATTAGGCCGCTCTACCTTGGAGAAAAAAAGTGCGAAGAGCTGAAACATTAAATTGAATATTGAAATATTGAGCGGATTCGGGGAACCCCAATTCATTCGTATCCGTGTCAGACGGAGGATCCCCAGAGTAAGATATAAGAACAAAAAACTCAATAGCGTTGCGTCGATGTCTCAGCGCATCATTAAGTGAGCGTTGATCTAGAGAATTGTCTTCTAGCAACAAGTTGTTTATGGCCTGGTGACAGGATTGTTGTTCAGAACAGCCTTTGTTGTCACGCTCTTGACGAAACTCGACTCTTAACTCTCAACTACGCTGTCAATGGGTGGTCGCAGCGGTGACTGTATGCTTTGTCATCGCCGAAAATAGTCGATCTCGCTTCTGATAGAATAGGTAGGACGAATCACGACTCTGTCAAACGATAGACTTCGGCATTCGGACGAATCTAGTCAGGCTTGTACCAATAATCATTTACGACTACGATGCCGTGGAACTCAAGTAAAATGGTCGTAGCCTGCCAGTGACGCTTCAATAGACGGACAATCAAAAGGCTATTGGGCCTTTATGTGGTTCATTGATTCGGTCGGGACGTCTCAGGACCCTCCCCGACCTTGGGATCATGAAATTGATTGGGTGATTGGATCGAGATCGACTCGCCCATTGAGAGAAAAATTGTTCTATCCGCCGTGTGCTTTATTAGATTCGTATAAGGGTTTCATATGTTCTGCCGGTCACGAGCGGAATAATTTCTTCGCTACGGGCTCCCATAGACCTGACCCTCGGACGGCTGGAGAGCTGTTACCGCTACCAATAGGGACAGCATTCGAGATTGTTTTGTCAGACGAGTCAAGGAACTTGCTGACGCTGTATTTAAAACTTGGATATCATGAATAGCTCGGGCCGACCCGGAACGGAGTCTGAAAGCAACCTCGTGGCCACCGACAACGACGACTCCCTGCGTAAAATCCGATCTAGCCTCCGGGCATCGGTTTTCCGAATCGGACACGGATGCAGGAGCATACGCCAAGCAAGAGTTCGATGAGAATCTGTGAATACTGAACCCGGTTTCTGTCTTCCAGGGGAACCCACTCCGTATGACCCGGAATTCAGAGGTCCAGTCTTCCGAAGGAGCTGCACCGATGTCCTTTTCCTCATACTTTTCATCGTATTCGTCATAGGATGGGGAGCCATTGCGTTTTTAGGTGAGTCATCTAAAATTCTCCTACTCGAAAGGTTATCTCTTATCGATTCGAGTCCACAATGCCAATCCTACACTTCATTTACGCAATTATTTTTAGCGATCAAAAATGGCAACATAGAGCGCGTCATCCATCCTTCGGACAGCAATGGAAACCTCTGTGGTACCGGAGAGAATGAGTGAGTTAGGAAGATAAACAAAGGGTCAATTCCCAGATTACATCCGTCTGGGCTGAAGAGCGAATGGAGGCGGCAGTCACGAGCCATATCCCCTGTGTCATGTTTGAAAAAAATGCGATTCTGACAAGAGCTTGACGTCGATAGCGATCAGCAATAGTACTGTGCATCTCTGAAATCAGAATAGGCGTCGGCGTCGTGATCAGCCGGATCCGCGTCGAACCCTTAACGTCCTCTAGCTCCGAGTCCTCTCAACGCATTTCACCTCCTCACGGAACTGAGGGCGTGCGGGACGCTCGATTGATTCTCGCTGTACGCCACTGAGGTCCTCGTTTGTTTCTTCCAGGAAGAAGCCCTATCTCTTCTTCTTTGATCTATTCAAGTGTAAGGTGAAATTCGAGACCGACGAATGGATACCAAGCGCAAAATGTCGCACACCACAGGTGAGATCTGGCGCTCCCGATCAAGCGATCCCCGTTCCGTAGCTCTCTATGTTTAGGGAGTTTCCGATGCTCGGGCGCTTCATCGAGCATAGCCGATCACTCAGAGGCTTTCATTCGATACAGGTGTGCGTGGAGCAATGCCCGACGAAGACGTTCAGCACAACGAGCTATACGTCGGATCCCGAGAACGCCGCGGAAATAAAACGACACATGATCTGTGTTCCCGGGACGGACATGTCGAAATCCATCTCGGAGCTCACAACGGGGAAGCCCGCCAGTTGCGCATACTATTACATCGCCAGCGTTAGCAGTGAGTGAGCTCATCGATAATGCGGGGAAATGTAATGAGTCCGCTTTCCTTCTCGAATCGTACTTCGAAACTGACTGAATCGTCGATTGATCTTCCAGTCGGAGGCCGCTGCGTCCCAAGTCCCACGACAGTGACGGATGAATTCAAGATCGGCGAAACTTTCACTGTCAGGGACGAGGAAGACAAGAAAGATGTGAGCGGCGACGAATTGGTCGAGAAAGCGAAGCGAAAAATGGACAGGATTCTCAATGCGCGCAGATACATTGAGCGTCTTCTGGTCGATCTCAGTAACACATGGAAAATTATCCTCATTGGTTTGGTGTGTTCCATGGTGTTTGCTTTAATTTGGATCGTGCTCATGAGATTCGCTGCGGGGTGGATGATCTGGCTTGGAATCCTAAGCATTCTGGCGCTCCTGATTGCAAGTGAGTTATATATTTTTATATAATTTGTATATTTTATTTATTCCGAGAAATCTTTTTTTCATTATATTTCTCGTATCCGTCACACCGGTCGACACAGGGGAGTCTAACGTCGATCAACCATCATATTTGCGCAGGCACCGCGTTCTCCTGGGTAAAATATGTTTCGCTGAAAGGAGTACCGGGAGCTGATGAAGGTTTAGGATTCTCACGAAAGATCTCCTACTACACTGGAAGCCGGCAAACCTGGCTCATTTTGGGCGTGATCTCATCGATTCTACTCTTCATCCTTCTATTCGTCATCATTTTCCTCCGAAACCGGATCCGGATCGCCATAGCGCTCATCAAGGAAGCTGCGAAGTGAGTCAGGATCTGGATGATTCCGGGAGCTCGAATGGCTGAGCTATCTTGGGCCCGAAGCTTTTGAACCGACGACTCCAAGTTGAAACCCTCTCTTTTTTTGCAGAGCAATCGGATACATGCCCACGGCTTTGGTGTTCCCTGTTTTCCCCTATCTCCTGCAGCTCTTCGTATTCCTCGCCTGGGCTGGCATATCACTGTAAGTATTGACCGAGCATCTCGTCCGACGTCTAGAGACGAAGCTGCGAGTTCTCGGAGCGAGGGACCATCTATTTGATATCTGTGGGATTTCTTGGAAAAATTCAATCATTCAATGAATCAATTTCCAGCCTTTTGATATCACTGCCATCGGGTGACTCCGCCATCGATTCTGGGACCAATAACACGAGTGTTTTCGAGAAATGCATCGAGGGCATGGGAGGCTACTCTGCTTTCAACAACAAGACCTGCCTGGTTGGAGACAAGGCCCTGAGCTCCCACGTGAACTACACGCACATATACAATACATTCGGGCTGTTCTGGGTCATCGCCTTCATCGTGGCCTACGGAGAAATGAGTCTCGCTGCCTCCGTCGCGAGCTACTACTGGACCCGTCAGAAGAAGGTGAGATTCTCGATCTATTCCGACTTCGCATTCTCGTCGAATAAGAGGGAAGTTTCGGTCCCGATGAGAAAGAAAGTTATCTGAGTCTATGAGTTGATTTCAGGACATACCGACGTTGACCGTCGCGAGCGCAATGTGGACCACGACCCGTTATCATCTTGGAACATTAGCATTCGGATCTCTAATCATCGCTGTGGTATCATTCATCAGAGCCGTGATCGAGTACCTTGAGAAGAAGGTGAAAGCTTACGATAATGAGATCTCGAAAGCCATTATCTGTTGCTGTCGATGCTGCTGTTGGTGTTTGGAGAACTTCCTGCGTTTCGTCAATCGAAATGCCTACATCATGTGCGCGATTTACGGCAAGAACTTCTGTACATCCGCGAAAAAATCATTTTTCTTGTTGATGCGCAACATCGTTCGCGTTGTTGTGGTAGACAAGGTCACCGACTTTCTCCTCTTGGCGTCGAAGCTCGCTGTCGTGGGTTCTTCGGCTGCGGTTTCGTACTATGTGTTCTCAGCGAGCGACGAAAGGCTCAACGAATACATACCCACCTTGAATTACCCGCTTTTCCCCGTGTGCCTGATTGCGGTCGGATCGTACGTGATCGCAACATGTTTCTTCGACGTTTACAACATGGCGGTAGATACACTCTTCCTCTGTTTCTTGGAAGATTGCGAACGCCACGACGGCTCGAGGGAGAAGCCTTACTTCATGTCTAAAGAACTCATGCTCATCCTGAAGAAGAAGAACGTCAAGCCGACGGATCCGAGCGCGCCAAAACAAGAGTAGGCATTGAATCGTAGCTTGAGAATATCCAGTTCTCATGCACAAGCCATGAAGTTTCGAGTCGCGGATCGTTGACGGCCACTGACTTCACTCCACCGGGTAGCTCTACTTCTTAAACTACGTGTAAAAAATATTTAAACGCTCGTACATACAACTTTGGATTCGACTGTAAAAGATGTGTGAAAGGAATTTGATTGAGCCACTACGGAGTTTGCTCGAGAACTTCAAGAGGAAACGAATGAGTCACACGAGGAATAACTTCAACGGTTGGAAAGTCCAATTTGAACAACCGAGGCATTTTAAAATATTGACAAGTATTTGTATATATATACCTATGTGACTGAACTGCCTTAATAAATCCGAGTTGAGCGTCGACTCGTATTGCGATGCATCGTTAATGAATGCTGACGTGAATCGAATCAGTCGCGCATTGCTGAATTCGCTTGCGGGGTCACACGTGAAACCTTGATTGCGAATGCAGGCAGACCTGCAATGGAAATTGCGTCTGTCACTTGGAATCATTAATATCTGCGGCGTGGAGATCTCATTCCACTGAACAAAGAGGATGATCACAGGCGTTGGAAGTTATGGCTTATGGTGCCCTGCTCCTAGGAATACTCGAAAACGTTATATCAGGGCGTAAGCTCAAGGTTTTACCCTGAAGCTTCAATTTCATGTTATCCCCGATCCCGTAAACCTGATCTACCAGGCGCAGGAGAGTCTTCTTAGGAGCCATGTGAAGATAACAATCTCGATGGAGCAAACTCGGAGCGTGATCCGATCATGGAAGATAGTCGTGACCTAGGCAACCGATTTCAAGGGATACGGTGTTATTCTATCCAGCAGACTCAATTCATCGCGTGGTAGGCTTCCGGAGTTGTCTACGAAGATCTCCCTGTTGAAGTCTGTTCGGAACTGGATAAGATAGGACTTGATGAGCAGCATGAATAGTCGAGAGCCGTGCGGACTTCGATGAATGATCTCGCCCGCGCCCTCTCGAGGAGCACTCCGAGAAGCATGGATCAGCGGCGCGAACTTGTTTAGTTCACCGAAACTCCGCTAGGTGTTTGTTTACAAAATAAGACAGCCGGGATATGGATGGCCGGACCACGGAACACCCGATCAGCAGTGCTGCCAGAGTTCGATAAGGATCAAAGGACTCGATAAAACAGGAAGGTACGTGTTCTCACCGAGGAAAAAAGGGGAATCCTTTGACCGCATACGTTCGGAAAATCCGCGCGGGAAATCGCTCACATTCGTGCGTAGGCTCCTCTCGCGATTTGGCGGTCTCTGCGATCGGGACGTAGACAGCTCCCACGAGCTCTTTCGAAACGAAATTCGAAACAAACTCCTCTTTTCACGCTGGCTGGAAATCAGGCGGCTGATTCCTAAAGATGGCGGGAGAATTACGACTCTGGCTGGAGCGCGGATTGCTATACGGGGACGAAGAGATCAATTCGGAAAATAGACCTAAGAAGGCGAAAAGCGGTGGAAGAGAGCACGCGTCAAAGCCAGAACCCCTGGTGAAGAATGCTGGTTTTCGAATTCCTGCCCTGCTCCTCGCGATTAGATCGATGTAACTCGGATCAGGGAAGGAATCCCTGTGCCGTCGGTTTCTGCGGCTGATGAAGTCTCTTATTTCAGCATGGACGACGTCGTGCATCAAAATTCCCTCATCCTCTCGACTGCGGGAGCGGTCCCAGTTGTGAATGAGAAGGTACGTGACTTCGACCTTACTCTGGGAACGGGGAATCATAATCTACTACAGCGTTTCGTGGCAGGAACGATAATTTCTTATATACAGGGGCAGAATCTCTCGGCCGGTAATCTGTATCGGAAGCGCGGGTCATCGATGTTCTGCCGTACGCAGAATGCAGGTCGTGCGTGATGATTTATATTGAGGAAATTTCTTCTGCAGGGTGAGGTGTACATGAAAAAAGTCAAAGTCCAGAGATACATCTCTGGAAGGCGACCCAAATATGCTCCAGACGACAGCGAAGGTGAGTCGAGCGGGCCATCGTGCTGATCCGTAAACCTCTTCTCAATGGACGATTGAACCTTTCCTAATTCCTCACCTCGCTCCCTAGAATCAGCGTCGTCGGACGACGACTTCATCGTTGAGAGACAACGACCTTCAAGGAAGATAGAGAGACCCGAGCTGCGCACAGGAGCAGATCAATCAGGCAGCGAGGAGGATGCAGAGGAAGGCGATGAACTACCGCAAGACGACGAGCTCTCGGACCGTACTGCGGGTCAAGAAATCGATGACCGAGACCTCGACGATCCTCGGCTCCGGAGATTGATGCGACGAAAGCAGGAGACGCGAACCATTGAGAGCGCCACCGTCGTTGAGGGCGACGACTCCGACCGCGAAACAGGACGTCGACGACATCGAAGTTCGTCCCCGTCTTCGAGTTCGTCTGACAACGAGGATCTCGACGACGAAGAACGCGAAAGGAAGCGCTTACAGATAAAACAGAGAGCGCTCCAACGAGCGAAAGATCAAGAGGAGGAGCTTGTACGCGAAGTAGAAAACAAACAGGACGAAGAACCTCAAGAGGATGAGGAGTCCGAGTATGAGGAATACATCGAAAGCGAAGAGGAAGAGCAAGGTCCGCGATTGAAACCTGTATTCGTACGACAGAGAGATCGTATCACAATCCAAGAGCGAGAACAGGAGGAAGAGCGGAAGTATCGAGCAGAATTGGAAAAGAAGAAGAAGGCCGAAGAGAAACGGAGGCAGACTCTGAAGATCGTAGAGTCCGAAGTCAGGAAGGAAGTGGAAGAAACTAAAGAGGAAACCAAGACAGGAGCCTGCGTTGGGAATATTGAAGACGTCAACACAGAAGACGAGAACGACGAAGCCGCCTACGAGGCGTGGAAAGTCCGGGAGTTGAAACGGATAAAGCGAGACCGAGAAGCTCGAGACGCGATCGAGAGAGAGAAAATGGAGGTCGAGAGACTGCGCAACATGACCGAAGAGGAGCGTCTGCGCGAGCTGAAAAACAACCCGAAGAAAATCGTCAACAAATCAACGAAAGGAAAGTACAAATACCTCCAGAAGTACTATCATCGGGGATCCTACTTCGTCCAGGACCAGGAAGACGATATTTACCGCAGAGATTTCTCTGTTCCGACCCTTGAAGATCACTTCAACAAATCCGTACTACCGAAGGTCATGCAAGTCAAAAACTTCGGACGATCGGGTCGGACCAAATACACGCATCTTCTTGATCAAGATACGACGAAAGCCGATTCGCCGTGGTCGGCCGATACCGCTCAAAACCTCAAATGGCACATCGAGAAAGCAGGTGGATCGAAAGCATCTCTCGGTGATCGACCTTCAGTTCGGAAACCGCGGAACTAGGAGGGGAATGGGTACTGGAGCTGTACATTAGTTTTGTGTATAAATAATGAAATCGGAGAGAGATCCTGGTCTTGTTACTCACATTCTAGCTGCACTCTCCCTCATTATCGTCAAATGCACAGATGGCGAAATCGGTCAAGCCCCCTTCGAGCGTCCGTGATTCGCTAATTGACTCATTCCTAAGCCAGACCCGTGCAGAAAATGCATGAATATCTCGAAAGTTCGGGGGAGTCAGTGGCCTCCGCCTCAACCCCGAGAAGTGTGAGGTTTTCGTTGACCAGGTCGACGAGGGCGATGGGGAGCAAGCGGTCCGCTCGATCCGCGACCTCCTCCCAGGCTGCCGGCTTGTCCACAAAGGCACATTAGAGCTACTCGGGGCCCCTGTCTTCGCAGAGGCCACAGAGGCAAAACTTCCTAGGGTCCGCCACATGGTGGCTAAACTGGGCCTTGCCCTTGTTCTCTTCGTCCCAGCTGTCTCTGGTTGAAGGGTTCTGTTCCCCCGGGCGAACGGTACCCGAAAAGAAGAAAGTGCAGAGAGAATGGGACACCATCCTATGTTCGGAACAGGTGACTGCCCTCCGGAAGAGCTCCCCCTCGAATGCCGATCGCGCGAGACTCCTGGCAGTGAGCAGCCCAGGCGCGAGCCACTGGCTGCAGTGCCTGCCCTCCGCGACTCTCGGGCTCCTCGAAGACAACACGGTCCGCATCTGCGCGGGTCTTCGACTTGGAGCAGGAATCGTTTCCCCGCCCGCCTGCGTCTGCGGACGGCCGGTCAGCGCAGACGGCGCTCACGGTCTCTCCTGCAGAATGAGCGCCAGGAGGTGGTCACGACACTCCCCAATGAATGACACCTTCAGCCGCGCGTTGCGCAGCGCCCAGATTCCGAACCTGAGGGAACCTCAGGGGCTTTGCAGAGCGGATGGTAGACGACCGGGCGGCCTGACGCTGATTCCGTTCGAGAGAGGCAAGGCCCTGGTATGGGACGGAACGGTAGTCGACACTCTAGCCCCTTCATATGTCGACACCGGTAGTCTCAGAGCGGATTTCGCGGGAGCCAGAGCGGGAACGCTAAATCTCCAGAAATACGAGGATCTCGCCGCGAACTACGTCGTGTGCCCGCTGGCGTTCGAGACTCTACGCGGCCCTGGCCCCGTAACGCAGAGACTGCTGGACACAGTGGGTCAGTTAATCGAAGAAGCGACGGGATGTAGGTGAGCGCGAAGGTACCTCTACCAACGGCTATCAATTTGCGTACAGAGAGGTAATGCGGCTTCCGTCATGGGAACCATGGCCGCTTACGAGGGACCCGCTATGGAACTGCCGTAAGGCCTGACTAGAGTGGGGAGAGATAAGCTCATCTAAATCTGATTGATGTGTAACTTGTATTAATAATAAACAGCTCTAAAATGAGCAGCTTAATTTCGAAACCTTCTCATGATCCGAAGAAATCCATCGACGTTCCTTCAAGTGGCTGCCAGTGCGCCTCGCGCGCGCATCCCTCAAAAATTCTTGAACCTTCCGGATCGATGATTCCTCCTGCGGGCCAGTCGACCGAGGTGCAGCTATGAGTTTCGAAGGCGACGAGGGAATGAAAACGCACAACAGTTCGTGAAATCCGTGGGCGGGAACTGAATTTAAACCCGCTTAATTTTTTGCCAAGACAAATTGCGAACAAAGACTCCATCACAAGCTTTCTCTTTCGCAGCGCCTCCTACCCATCCGCTAAGTCGAAAATCGACGGTGAAGCTCCGCGGATGCAAACAGTTCGCTCCAAGCGAGAAACCAACAATTGACGAATCTCAAGCATGACATTTACCGTCGCGGAATGAACAGCGCTTCCTCATGGTTCACGCGCATTTTCCTTTTTCCAACTCGCTATGCGGCTCCCTCGGGGTGAGAGTACGCCATTTCCTGTAATAGTGCTCAGTCTTGAGTTTAGTCTTCGTCGATCGGCGCAGAATTCGAGAGGATCGCAGATTCCTCGAGCGTGAATCAGCGTGGCTAGCCGGAGTCCTTCGTCTTTCACGGTGTTTGTTTCAAGTAGCTCGAGAGATAATGTCTTCAAAGATCGACCCGCGTCAGCTCACGCACTGCCTACGAGAGTCTCCGCTTCTGGATTCTTTCGACGCCGAGCAAGTTAAACTCTTGGACGAAGAGTGCATCCAAGTCGACGAAAATGATCGCGTCATTGGTAGCTCTAGCAAAAAAGATTGTCATCTGATGGCGAACATCAATCGCGGTGAGAGTCGAGCTTCGATCGGTAGTACGGAAGAATATGCGTCATTCTATCACGTATTTGTTGACGCCATCAACTTCGCTGATTCCATCCGGTATGAATTTTCGATGTTGCGTCATGGAGATCGTTCGCTTCGCCTAAGATCGTTTGACCTTTTCTCTCGCCAGGTCTCCTGCATCGGGCCTTCTCGGTGTTCTTTTTTAACTCATCCGGCGAGCTTCTCGTCCAGCAGCGATCGGATCGCAAAATTACTTTCCCCGGTTGCTACACGAACTCTTGCTGTTCACATCCATTGGCAAATTCGTCTGAACTCACCGCCGACCCCATTCTGGGGGTGAAGAGAGCAGCTCAGCGCCGCATGTTCGTAGAATTGGGAATTCCTCCCAAAGAAGTGAGTGGAAATCGGGCGATCGGTCGGGGTTCTTTATGCTGCGACGCACTACCGAGTCGTCCTGATATACCAGTGTTCATGTTGTGAGTGCAAGGCCTCAATTGTAGTCTGACCGAATTCAAGCTCCCGTTGGAGGCCTTCAACTACTTGACGCGCATATTGTACAAAGCCTCATCAGATGGGACTTGGGGCGAACACGAGATCGACTACATATTGTTCGTGCGAAAGGATCTGGAGAGGATCGAAGCGAATCAGAATGAGGTGAAATCTCTACGTTTCATCCGCCGAGATCAAATTGATGACTTCGTGGGTGAGTGTCGCGTGACGAGTATTCCTGGAGATCCTTTGAGTCCGGAGTACACAGGGAAATTGACACCCCAACGTGGGGAGTTCGGACACCACCGATCTTCATTGGCGTCCCGTTTCAGATAATTTAGCGGCAGAGGGTCACTCATTGACGCCGTGGTTCAAGCTGATCCTCAACACATTCTTGAAAAAATGGTGGGACAACCTGGACTGTCTGCATCTATTCGAGTCGCACGACGTCATCCATCGGCTTTGTTGAGCCCCAGTTCGGAGCCGGGTTCAAGGTCGAAGAATATGGAGTCGGAGATCGCAGAGAGAGCTCGATTCATTTCGAAGCTGTCCGTATCATCTTCTCTGCCGAGCTTTGAATGCCAGAGTCTATCCATTAGCTATGATGCGTATGCTGTATCTCGCCTATTCGCAGAGCACGAGATTTCCGAGTCTCGAAGAACCAGACCCGCCCCGCCCCCCCCCCCCGCTAAACCTTTCGTGAGTAGTGGCTTTCAGAAGACCTAATGACCGGAAGCGGATTGGTCGCTCCGGCAGCACGACTGACGAGATTCTTTATTCTTCCCTGCATCTCTCGCCTTAACAAAATTTCACGCTAGACTCTAGACTCTATACAAGACCTTTCCCCCGCTTCTATCCTGACAGTTGTGAATAAACTTTGAATAGTACCATTGTTTTTCCTCTGAGATGAGACACACGCTGCTGTTTCTGCTCACTTGGGGACTCTCAGCTCCGCGTTCCAGCGGGTCCCCGGAGATCTGCTTCCCGGGGCATGAAGATCAGAAATTCTAGAAGGTAAATACTCCAATCCGATGACTTTCCAGCAGATGCTTCCCGTTCTAGCCATGGCGGTAGGCAACCTCGGCTCGTCGCGAGTGCGGCGGATTTCCGCTACCGTTCGATACTCCCTGCTTCTTCGCAGTAAAGTTCTTTCCTCGCGATGGCTCTGCCGGTTTCCTTCACATTCGCGGCGCTTCTCGGTGGCTTGGAGTGCACATTCAGACGGTATCCGGATGAGGTAGGCAGTGGCTTCCGGCGCCCTTAGTTCCGGAGCCTCTCCGTCCGGGACCATAAAAGGGCCGGTGCAGTATTTTTTGTTCCATCACGCAGGAAGTCCCGTCATGCGGGACTTCAAGCACTCTACGGGCCCATGATCACGAAGGCGGTTTAGCGTCTATGGCGGTAGAGCTCAAGTCGATTCTGCTGAAGTGAGTTGAATAACACTGTCGTTACCTGACAGGCCTTTGAGCATGTCAGTATACTCTGCGGCCCATATTTCGCAGAGGGTGAACATCGGTCTACTTCTTTACAGCTTGATATCGACTGAATCTAGAGACAGACGAGGCGTTCTGCTAATGGCAGTGAAACTGTGGACTTTCGGACGCCAAAGAGGCTTGGCTGACCTTCTCACGCGATTCGGGAATAGTGTCGGTTGACGAGAGCTCTGAAGGGACGGCTAGGAATGCGAAGACGATAGGTTTGGCTCTGCTGCACTCGGATCAAGCGGCTTCTAGACTCAGTCAGGAGCTTTCAAATAAAGAATGCGGTCCTGATCGCATGAATCTTCAGAAACGCGGAACCTCGAGAAGGTGGACGCGGGGGGCTCATCCAGGCGTGATCCAAGACACAGTCTAATCGCGGTCTACATAGACGGTCAGCATCTGTCCAATAGAAGAACTTGAGCCTTCGAGAGGGGCTCCGTCAGTGAGAGCTCCGGTATGTCCCCGGTGGCTCTCTAATTGAGGCAATCGATAGGGGTTGATCCGCGATTTGCGAGGAAATATTTCACCAAGGAGAGCCTGATCTTCCGGAATGCCAGTAATGTCCGGAACGAGGAGCTGGGAGTTGGCGAACCTGGATTCGGATACCGAATCAATATTCGCTTATCGCTCGAGAGATTCACGTGATCGGTGTATCCGCAACGCGGTCTCCAACTCCAGAGCGCCGTATGCGAGATTCGCGTAAAGCATCGCGAAACCCCACGCAAAAGTCACCAAGACCACCCAAACTCGCGCGAGCGCTCAGCAAAGATCACCGCCATCATTTTTCACTTTCCTGTCGACAGACTTAGTTTATGTGGAAGTTTCCCCCGCGTTTTTCGCGGTCTCCATGGAGTGTTGGACTGCGTGTCGTACGACGTTCCAAGTCTACGCATGAGTCCTTGACGAAGCCGAGTCTCCGCAGCAACGTGCCATCCGTGTATCATTCGAGGACGTTCATTCTCCAATGAGGAGAGGGGTGACGAGAGTAAAGAAATCGTCCAAAGCAACACAACAGCGTAGAGAGTCGTTTCAAGAAATGTGAGCGTCAGTCACTGCGTCGCGGAAAACGCGAGTGATTCCGAGCCGGAGCTCATGCCGTGAATTTCAGAAGGCCTGCTCCGAGGGATTGCTAGGGGTTGTCGCGAGCCTCCAGAGACCTGGTGTAGGTGCTGGCTGAGATGTCAGCTGTTTGAATTTCATCAACAGCGCTCTCGAATTGACCGCTGATCGAAGTTCGGGAAAGACCGCGATTTTCTCTCCCAGTGAATAATTCTCGTTGACACCAGGTCCGGGAAAAAGCGTGGAATCGTGTCTTCGATCACTCTCGGGAAAGAGCGGTCTCGGAGCTCTATGAAGGCTGCAAACGGAAATCTGAGCGGAACTACGAACGATGGAGCTGCAGCTTGATTGTGAAGTTCACATAGACCTCGCACACAGAGAACGAAGACGCGCAGACAGACTCCTCCAATCCCACAGGTTCGACGAAGCTATCAGTGCACATCAGGACGCCATCACTCAACTTGAGAAAGTGAGTAGTGGTTGCACTCGGAGTTTTTGTGCGTTCGCCATTACGTAATCCAGACGCCTCTTTGGAGGATCGGCTTGAAAAGAGTTTCACGTAATCCATAAGTTTACTACGCAGGTTTTGGCATTCGCAAAGGATCCTGTGGTGAACGAATCAATCCAACTCCAGATCGCTTTCCACAATCGGCAGCAATTGATAGTCGCCTGTAGAAGGGAAAAGCAGAGAAGTCTTCTGAAGAGACAAGCTTCGGTGTCTTACTGCAGGTTAGCGGTTGTCTTCAGCAGTATTTTACCATTCACCCGGGGAAGCTGACTGTGCTATCCCGTCGCGGAAGCGCCCCTACATATCTATATAGGGACTATCAGGAGGAAATCTTTCTGAAGATGATCGACAACCTTTTCCATGATGGGGAATATCGAATTCCTTCAAAGTCTTCATGCATGAATGACAGGATTTTTTTCTTCTCCAGAGAGACTGGTGAGGTAATCGAAATCGCAGAGATGGCCTTACCGGACCAGACGGATCAAGATCAGGACGAAACCAATACCACGAAGATGCATATGCTCTTCAATCAGAATGCTGATCTCTTGCAACAATTGTACAGGAAATCCAAGGATAGTAAATCGCAGAACAGTGACTGTCAGGTGAGTTAGATGTCTCGAAAGGTTTCTTCCTTGAATGAAACCTAAGCCCTCCCGCGCGAGCGATACGGGATCTGAGGCGTTTTCGTACAATCTTCCGCAGGTCATCGATGAGCTCCGCGCGAACAACACAGAGTTGAGGAAGATGCTCGGGCATCTCGCGAGCGACAATTGCGCCCTACGGCGGCGAAATCGGGAACTGCGAGACGAGATAGAATTCCTGAGGTCGAAACTCAATCAGGTCGAGCAGCCCCGACTCGTTATCCCGGAGCTCGCTCCGCTAGAGAGGCCGGATTTCGACGCATAGCTTTGAGGGAACCATTCTCATGTTGTAATCGAAAGCACAAGACCTACTTTACTCCATTTTCGATAGTGATGCTTCCCAATAGTTCTCAATCGTTGAAATATTCCATTATACACATGCATGCCCTCAGCAGGAAGTCCTCAAACTTGTACATTTTCCGTCCGCTGCTCTCGCATAGAGCATTTTCCTCCCTGGAATTTTATGTTGAATAAACAAGATGATGTGTTTCCCAAACTCCGCGATATTCATTCTCCTTGTACTGCTATTCCTCGCGGCTATCAGTCTCCATCCAGATGACCCACTGCGTTGCCGGAGTCGAGGATCGACCGCAGATAAAGAAGTCGCCCGGTATGGGACTTTCAGATGAGCAATGATGATTTCGGAAGTCCCTCTCGTTCTGGGGTCTATGGGACACGACACATCCCTCAAAGGTCGCACTTCAGGCTGACTACACACCCGAGAGTGCTCCCACCATTCTGAAAACTCCCGTCCTCGCCCCGCTATGAGGGGCCGGCATCCGGGAGGGATTCGGTCGGTTCTGAAGCGATGAAAATGGAACACGCTGAGCAGTCGACTCCGTTTCCGAGAAGAGGGACCGGCCATAGATTCGTCAAGATGTCGTCTCTCACCCTACACATTTCTCGGGGGCTATCACGATGAGCCCAGCGAAAAGGACTTGAATCATCATCGAGGTAACGAGGACAGATCGGTAGTTCATATCCAGATCAAGACGAGATCCGCGTCGGGAACTGCGAACCAGCACGAAGTTGAGACCGGTGTTGTTGGAATGAGTGCTCAGGCGGGGATCACATTCTCGTTACTAATCGCGTCACTGCGCTTTCCCGGACTCATGAGGGAATGCTTCTGGAGGTTTGCTCTCTGTAGGAGGCGAAGCAACTCGTCGTCATCGGAAGCGAGGCGGCCTCTGATGCGTGGCAACACAATCATCGTTCTCGATTTTCCGTCTCGAACGCGACGTACGCAGGAATGGCGTAGCTTTCCGACTATTGGACAATAATATGTGGTAATGTATTCGTGCGATTTAGCTTACAAGAACCCTCGATTGGGATCGCTCCGACCGGAGAAAAGGGAGATTCAATCGATGCGCGATCTCTCGATAGGAAGATATAAGCGCTGACGCCTCATATGACTTCACGAGCGACTGGATGATTCATCAAAACATGGGTACAGACTACTGCGACGCGCCGGCCACCGAAGCCCTCAACATCCAGCAATTGCGGACACGCGTGTGGTTCTACGAATAGAGACGCTCGATCATCAGAGACGTCGAGACGGCCAAGGACGGTTCTTCTCATCCGCCTCCTGTGAACTCCTGACGACGGCGTCGGTCCTGGAAACGATCCAGCAGGTGAAAATCGACAGGGAGGTTCTTCGACATTTAGATGAATAGAAACAAGTATGCCAGCTCCTGTCGCTTTTGCCAAAAACAGCTCAGCGACACTTACATGAGGAAGCCATGTCATAGAATGACACAAGGTTCCCACTTACATTAGGGCTCCCAGTGCCGATGAGCTCGTTGACGGCTCGGTTGGAGTCCCGAACAGGGCTTCGAGATTCTCTGTTACCCTTACGTGTGGGATTCATCGTGTGAAGTTCAACTCGATGATTGCCTAGCCTCGAAGTTTCACGACCTCGCCAATTCTGTCGGACATGCTTCTAGTCGAAGTCTTGATTGATCGACTCCCGAGCAGTCGATAAGGACTCTTTTAGAGCTACGCTCGCTTTGAATCGCCCCGTGCCATTGCAAACACGCTCAGCCGGGACTCACCAAGATCCTCTGTGAGGTTCCTATCGGGGAATCGAGCTGGCTAATCAATATTGCTACCGAATCAATGTTCTGTCGATTGGCTCCAAATGACGCCTTATCTTGAGAAAGTAACGGGATTACGTCGTCGGTTTTTGCTTGGATATGTATGTAAATCAGCCTCGATAAGATTGATTTTCACTCACTCAGCGGTACAAAGTTGGGAGGCCTAGGCTCATGATTCCGTGGGAGCTGAGAGCCGGTGACGCGCCCTGAGTAAGAGCTGCGTCCAGAAGACAAGCTCACCACAGCGCCGATACGGCAAGTGATCCGAGGGATGATGTCCAATCAGGGGACTGACTTCTAGCCACAAGCATCATGGTACAGTTGATGTATAAGCCAAGCATCGACAATTTCCTCACTCAGTGACTTGTTATCGCCGAAGACCGTACGATGCGATTTCGAGTCCGGGAACTCCGCGTGTGATCATCAAAAGTATCCATTGACGGAGTCGTCGCGATGGAGCCAACATAAAGCATGAGCCCTCCAAGAACTTTGAAGTGTCCCTTCTTACCTCCGCCGTTGGGCAGAGAGAGCATGGGACCCAGCCGCGGCTGGAGCAATAAACGCAGATCGATTCGAGTCTTGAACGACTCCGACAGGATGAAGCGCCGGAGGGTTCGTCGGAGAATTCGACCCTCCTACATGAAATTTTCGCAGGCCATGGTAACCAGTGCCAGCGAGATCGCGTGGAACAGCAACGGGATACAGAGGAACGAGCGGTAGTCCATGTTGACGATTCGACTATTCAGGACGAGACGCGCATTGGGGAGGATAAACCAGCAGAAAGTAATGACCGTTCCGAACGATATTGACCCTTACGCTCGGCAGAAAGTCTCCGTCGAAGTCATCAGGCCAGCGAGATGTCGATTGAAGTGAGCGCTTCGCACATGACTCTTAAGTTCTATCGAGCGCCGACGTTGCTTCGGAATCTCCGATCCGTTGAACACAAACCACGGATATTCCATGAAGGGGTTCAGGGCGAATAATTGAAAAACCTCATTACCCAGGCAGCTCATCCCTGTAGTCCAGTCCAAGTGCTCGATGGAATACGTCACATTTTTCCGAAGATAGACGAAGCAATATCCAGATCACGAAAACCCCATGTTGGAGATTCGAGTCTTTGACGAACTCATCGAGATTGGCGGTGGCGCTTTTGAGGAAAATGATTCCGTTGACGAGACACATCGGAAAACGAGTGTTATGCCGAAAAACCCTAAGGTGTTTCGAGACATCGGATTGCCTGGCAGCATAAGTAAACATGTGTATGCTGCATCCTACCTTCAAGAGAAGGACCCCTACGCGATGGAGCTTGGAGGACTTCCACTTCGCACCGCTTATGCCGTGAATGCGGGGGGCGAAAAAGAGGAAAACCTCGAAGGTTTTCGATATCTCTCTCGAGAAGGAGAGCAACCGCTTCCGCCGAAAGGGCTCGGGGACATTAGCGTGGGAATCACGCATTCATCGATTTGACCGAGGTGCACGACGAGGCGTTGACTTTGCCGTGAACATCGTGCACACTTCTATCTTACGGAGTGAGCAAATGGCCTCTATGAAGCCACACAAATGGTGGAGGGCAGTGTCGCGACTTGCGACCAAGCTATACCATTCGCCTCGCTCCCGAACCATCACGAGCGACTTGATTGAGCGCTCTCGTTCCGCGATGGGAGAGCGGACGCTCAATGAAATCTTCGATCGAGAACTTCGAGAGATCGCGAGAGGATCTTAGCTTACTAACGACTTAAGTCCAAGAGGTACACTCCGCGCGGAGCACTGGGATACATAGTTTTTCTCGTCTGCAAGACTCTTTCAGGGACTGGTCTTTCGCCCGCTCGATTCGGGCCACGCAGTGAAGTGTGAAAGATGGATAATGGAACGGTATGTCTTCGGAGCTACTGATTTGGTTGGACCCGACGCGAGGATGAGATGCGGAGTGGAACTCCGCCAAAGAGCCGAAACTCGACACTCAACTCAGACTCGGCGCAGGGAATGTTGTTCGATTCAAGAAAGTCATGCTCGTGATTACATCAAATTGCAGGGGAGGGCGCAGTCTAATCAGGATTTGTACTTGCGGCATACGCCATTATCGAGACCAGCTGAGGAAGCTCAAGTCGCAGGCGTGAAGTGTCGGAGAACGTCTTCAGGATTCCTCATTCCTTAACGCTTGAAAACTCCAGACTCTCCGGACGAGGGCGCTCAATATTGATTTCTGCCTGATCACAGCGGAGGGTGCTGGAATCCGTCAGGAAGGATGGGAGACGGAAGCTGGTTCGTGCGAATCCCTCCTCGATGCACGAATAGCTGGATGAACATGCGCAGATCTTCCGTAGAAGTCCATGGAGAAAAACCGTAGATAATCTCACAAAATTCGCAATATTGACTGTGGATGAAGAAAGCCTAGTCGAGAGAGTCCGATCGATCATTGTCCAAGGGACGATTCAACTATGCATCGAATGTTCTTATGATCTCTGACGGTCTCTTGCTTCCGTCTCATCTCGCCACAGGGCTCCTACGCGCTCTTCGCGAGGGACTCGGCACTGGAAAGCTGCTCGGAGTCCTCTAAAGCGAGACGGAAATCCCGCGGTCTGAATTATATCGGAGCCGGACTCGCGGCGCCGTTCCAGTCTAGAGCTCGACCAATCGATATATCATTGAGCCGCTCCAATGATCAAATCCATCCGGAAGAAGGCTCCCTGAGATCGGGATTTCTTCTACAATGCCCCCTCTACACCGAGTCAAGACGTCCGTGCTGTAAATTCGATGCAGCGTCTCGCTGACGACCTCATCGGCGATCCTGGTTCCAGCATCTATCCGATCCGAAACTCGCGTGGCTCGCTCTTGGAGTTTCCCGCTTCAGCGTCACGAGCAGCTTGATCCTCGAACGATACTCCTTTCCCATCTCCGGTTCGCTCTTCGCACCGGAATATAAATACGGTCGTTTCCTCAACGACATGCTATGACGTATGTATTTATGTATGATATCTACTTCTTGACTCACTCAGCCGCGCTTGGAATGCGAAATCCCGCGATTAGAAGACGTCTTGATCGCTACGCACTCGAATAAGTTCCCGATAGCGCCGACGGCAGAGCTTCAAGGTAGAATCGTGGCATGGGATAAACCCAGATATGATGAAATATAAGCATCATTAGAATGAGTAGAGCGGTGCAGAATCGCATGGATTCCATCGCATACAGCGACGACTGCGGAGTCAACTACGGTCGCCCAGAAGAACCGTGATAAACGGTTCCGGTAGACACCTTCAGCCGAAGTCGGTGGAACGCTTCCTCGTTCGATATCTTCGGCGGACACCTGCAGCGGTCGAACACCTGAATCATCATCGAGCAGAGTACCCCGATCAGCCATCTGGCAGAGGAGCGTATTGGGAAAACTTCAGTCCACCGCTGCAGAC